CACCTACGGACGAGCCTGCACCAGGTGACCTACGTGACCTCACACAGTAGGTCAAGAATCCAGCCCGGGCCATCAACTGAAAACTATAATTTCTATGTTCAATTCATGTTCCTTCTCCTTTCAGTAATGAAAGCTTTCGTTAAACGACCCACCCACCCATGTCTTTGTATGTAATAAGTCATTTTTGTCTGATGTACTCGTATATTTCCAGCCTTTTCAATAAACCGTTAATTATTATTCACACACACACACACACACACACACACACACACACACACACACACACACACACACACACACTACCTCAGCTCACTACATTTAAATTATCTCATTTATGTTTATCGAACATTTTCAATCTTTGGCTGCTATTTTTCTCAATAGACCGTAAATTATTATTATTATTATTAATATTATTATTATTATTATTATTATTATTATTATTATTATTATTATTATTATTATTATTATTATTAATATTATTATTTTCGTTTTTACACATAATGCACTGCTGTAGTTTGTACTCACCGTCCTGTTTTATTTCTATTTTATTTTGTGATTAGATTTTGTTTGTACTTTACTCCTCCCTCATCATATTGTTACTACAGCGCTTCAACAACGAAGGTCTTTTAGCACGTAACATGGTTAGTAATACACTAATCCAACAACTTTAACAATTAAATAAAACTCTGTGTAACCTCCCTTACACTTCTTAAATAGGATTTGCCGTGGTAACTACCATATTATTTCTATATTCAATTTAAACATGTGTTCCTGAGTGTTTTTGTGTTCGTATGTGTCTTAGATTTTTTAACACGAACAAATAATGGTGGGTTTTAGTGACACTAGGTGTGTGGATGCCACTAAATTATTTCGGATGAGTTCGGGAGCCAAAATACACTACCAATTATGATTTTCTGTCGTTGTTTTAGAGTTGAGTCTCCCTGTACTGCTTTTTTGGCGTGGGATTTGGCTGCCGTATCTTACAAATATTCAAACGAAGAGAACCTTGGTGTGTGTGTGTGTGTGTGTGTGTGTGTGTGTGTGTGTGTGTGTGTGTGTGTGTGTGGGATCTTCAGCTCCAAGCCTTAATTCATGCTTAAGGAGAGCTAGATGGTTACTGATGCAAAATACCTTCACAGATAAGACATTCTGATAATCCTAGGCGCAATTTATTACACTAATATACACTGTTTGACATGTGCATTCATATCAGGGTTTCAAGGTATAGTACTGTCCCCTTTTTTAAAGACAATCCTTAATTGTTGTTACAATTATATCAGGTTCTAATTACACTTTACCTTTCATCAAATATTTTTATGTAACTCAGCGTTTACTCTAGTCACCGGTAGCTGCTGATTAATGGAATGTACTGTAGGTACAGTGTGTTCTCAAGGGAAGCCTCGTATAAAGGCAAAGAGCGGACATTCAGTCACTTTTACAAGGGACTTCAGAGGGAATATCATTAAACTACTGAAGCGTCTCCGGAAAATTTAAAATTACAGCATAAAACACGAATGCTATATATTTTTGTATCAAGAGACGTGAGTTGATGGCACCGTCGGTGATGTTTTCTGTGGCTTATTATGTGATTGTGGCTTATTAATAATATTTGTCACCTGACGTAAAGTATAATTTAACCTGTGTATGGTTCAGGAGATGGTATGTATATACATTGTTTCCTTTACTCATTATTTTGTTTATACATCCCTATGAGTATTATGAATTACCTTGTAATTAATATTGTTGCAGCGTTTTGTTGTGTCCAAACTTGCTGATAACGTAATTTCAACGGATAATAATAAGTATCGTATTTACCCGCTCATCAGACTTCACTTAGCATTCACTTAATGACCGTCCAGGTTATTTTGTATTTATATATTATTTTTATAGCTGATGCCTTAACTGCCAGGGTTATGGACACGCCTGCGTCTCATTTAACCTAATTGCTGCGACCTATTATTGTAGGCTCGTGTGCCGAGCGACTTTTCTCAAGTAAAGAACAGAAAAGTGTATGTTACTGAATGCTGTAACACAGGATAGATTCTAATAATACAGTTATTACAGTTTGTTTACCTCATTTAGTCTCTCCCTCCCAAAATAATAGACAGGTTTATGAAATGAGTAAAAGGAAAAAAATACAACTGTGTCACAGATCGAAGGTGTTGCTATACTAGAGTTAAGAAAATTTGTTTCATAATATGTATGGCTGCTTGTAGCTATTTATTTTTAAATATGATAAGCCAGTCTCCTCGCCATGTAATAGAGGAAACTGAAAGCGTCGTAAGGTTTGATAGCGGAGATTAAAATTTCATGCATATCCACACAGAGCCAAACAATGTTCAATAGACAAATGCTACAATATGACAACGATTACTTTAAATGTCTATTTAAATTACCTATGGACAAGAGTTTTATATTCATACAGGAAAATTAATTTCCCAATTTCATCATATTTTATGATCTTTAGTGACAATACAGTATACTGACCAACTCATGTATGCCCCCCTAAGCTTCACCAGATATAAATAAAACGAATAAAAAACGAATGAATTAATTTCAACAAAACATTAAACAAAATTAATTATTGAATACTGTTATTAAATATATTATTAAGGAAGCGTTGCTATGTTTAATAAATACCTGAACTTACGGGCATAAGTTTGGATCCTGTTGTGGAGTTTGTTTTATACATACAGTAGTAGCTATCGTGTTAGAGGGCAGCTCTAGCACTATGGTGGGTTGCGCCTCTTTTGTTTCACATTTTGATGATCCAGGTTAGGATTAAAAATAATTATAAATTTAGTTTAAATATTTGATGAGAATGTTGGACATGTTTAAAGGGATTCACCGAGGTGTGAATGTCGGGTGAAGTACCACGAAGTGACATTGTCATGAATGTGTCAGAAGTTGAAGGTTGATTGAATGTTTCTAGAAAATGGAATATATATACTGTATGTTGAAAACACGTTGACCTACAACACCGAACATGCCAACATTGAACACAGGTGCATGAGACAGGTGTTGTTGGTGCTGTGTTGTCAGTAATCCTTATTTGAGCATCAGAATAAGGAACTAATAGGGTGATTAATAAAAGCTTCTTGAGTCTACAGTGGTTTATTATGGTAAGGGTTGTATGTACAGGGCAACAGCGAGAGATCAGAGTACGGGGGCCGGTGAGGCAAACCACAATAAATCACACAAACTATATGGAATAAATCAAAGACAAGTACAGGGGCACAGTACATTACAGGGCACAGCACAGTACAGGGCACAGTACAGGGCGCAGTACAGTACAGGGCACAGTGCAGTACAGGGCACAGTACAGTACAAGGGAAATGAAGTTGCTGGATTTGACAGCTGTGATTAATTTTACCAGGAGAATTAAGCAAATCCGAACATAACCTCTTGAGTTACTCCAACATTAGATGTGCAGTCTTAAACAAAAAGAACTCTTACGTAAAGTTGTCTCATAAGAAATTTAATAATGTATCATTAATCAGTTAATAAATTTGATTTTTGAATGATTTTATCTGATATTGGAGTCACTGGGCGAGAGGGTGCAGAGCGGAACATAATGGAGGAGCCCTGGACACGCCCAGACTGTAGCCCGGGCGGCCTGGTGTTTGTGGTGGGGGGGGGGCAGAAGACACACAAATACATAGTGTTTATTGTCGTCACCTTTTTATGGATTCACTTTCACTTTACTGTGTAAATATCACGTGATTATTTTGTAATCAGTGAACGAAATCCTTTGTATGTAAATACACTGGTAACATGAGGGTAACTATTAACTACCCGGGGATTATTGACTGTAAGTGAAATAATTCTATGGGTGTTCATAATCATCCGGGATTTATTGCAAATAATAGTATATTGGGATAGTTTTTTCGGCATATAATAGGAGGAGATATACACGTTTGCCTCTGAAGGAACATGTGGACAATACAGTCCAAAAACCGTCCGTTATTCAGTGAAGTATTCTTTTATATATATCTTTTATATATATATATATATATATATATATATATATATATATATATATATATATATATATATATATATATATATATATATATATCAATAAAAGGATAAGGCCAAGCAAAACAACTGTGAATTACCGGCATTGCACCACAAAGGTTTGGGTTGGTGGATGACATATAGTGAGTCGAGGTGCCATCCCCAGGTGCACATGTGTTTGTATCCCACCAGACATTATCATTAGACACTTTTTAAACTGACAACATAAAGACTTTACAACAGAATAAGAAAAGTCAATCTGAGGCGTAAATAAATACAGCCCAAATGTCTTGTGTGCCGGAAACACATTTTTTTTTTCGGCCCGATCAAATTATTACTAACTGAAAATGCCAGTGTTCAGTAAAGCCAGTTTGTTATTATTTGAGTTATTATTACATAGGCACACACACCGCAATCATGTACTCTACGCGCGTACACACACACACACACACACATACCACATGCATTCTACGCACACACACACCACATGCACTCTACACACACACACACCACATGCACTCTACACACACACACACACACACACACACACACACACACACACACATTCACTGTACACACACACACACACACACACTCTACACACACACACACACACACACCATGCACTCTTCGCACACACACACACACACACACACACACACACACACACACACATACATACCATATACACTCACATAGTCCACATGTACTCTACACTCTACACACACACACACACACACACACCACATGCACACACACACACACACCACATGTACTGTAAACACGCACACATCACATGCATTCTATGCACGCACACACACACACATACACACAAAACACTCATTCATACATACATGCCATGCATTCACACAAACGCTCACTGGCTGACTTCAATCACTGCATGTTTTTCACTCAGCGATAAAATGTGAATTAGTGTTTATTTTTCTCCAGCATTCCTTTTGGTAGATAAGGTGTGCTAACAGTACCACACCAAGGGCAGCAGCACCACGCCAAGAGCAGCAGCACCACGCCAAGGGCAACAGCACCACGCCAAGAGCAGCAGCACCACGCCAAGGGCAGCAGCACCACGCCAAGGGCAGCAGCACCACGCCAAGGGCAGCAGCACCACGCCAAGGGCAGCAGCACCACGCCAGCACCACGCCAGGGCAGCAGCACCACCAAGGGCAGCAGCACCACACCAGGGCAGCAGCACCACCCAAGGGCAGCAGCACGGGCAACAGCACCACAGGGCAGCAGCACCACGCCAGGGCAGCAGCACCACGCCAAGCAGCAGCAGCACCACGCCAAGGGCAGCAGCACCAGCCAAGAGCAGCAGCACCACGCCAGGGCAGCAGCACCACGCCAAGGGCAGCACACCACGCCAGGGCAGCAGCACCACGCCAGCAACAGCACCACGCCAAGAGCAGCAGCACCACTCCAGGGCAGCAGCACCACGCCAAGGGCAGCAGCACCACGCCAAGGGCAGCAGCACCACACCAGGGCAGCAGCACCACACCAAGGGCAGCAGCACCACACCAAGGGCAGCAGCACCACGCCACAGCAGCACCACGCCAAGGGCAGCAGCACCACGCCAAGCAGCAGCCAATACGCCAAGGCAGCAGCACCACACGCCAAGCAGCAGCACCACGCCAAGGGCAGCAGCACCACGCCACGCAGCAGCACCACGCCAAGGGCAGCAGCACCACGCCAGAGCAGCAGCACCACGCCAAGGCAGCAGCACACGCCACCAGCAGCACCACGCCAAGCAGCAGCACCACAGCAGCACCACGCCAAGGGCAGCAGCACCACGCCAAGAGCAGCACCACGCCACACAGCAAAGGGCAACAGCACAGTACCAAGGGCAGTAGCACCACACCAGGGCAGCAGCACCACCAGGGCATCAGCACCACATCTCAGAGGAGCAGCAGTACCACACCTGGGCAGCAGCACCACGCCTCAGTGCAGCAGTACCACACCTAAGGGCAGCAGCACCACGCCAAGGGCAGCAGCACCAGACCTAGGGCAACAGCACCACATCCAAGGGCAGCAGCACCACACCTCAGAGCAGCAGTACCACGCCTAAGGGCAGTAGTACCACACCTAAGGGCATAGTACCACACCTAGGGCAGCCCACACCTAAGGGCAGCAGCACCAGACCTAGGGCAACAGCACCACATCCAAGGGCAACAGCACCACACCAAAGGGCAGTAGTACCACACCTAAGGGCAGTAGTACCACACCTAAGGGCATTAGTACCACACCTACGGGCAGTAGTACCACACCTAAGGGCAGCAGCACCACACCTCAGAGCAGTAGTACCACACCAAAGGGCAGTAGTACCACACCTAAGGGCAGTAGTACCACACCAAAGGGCAGTAGTACCACACCAAAGGGCAGCAGCACCGGCACTGTCCGCAACACAAACATCACTGGAGCAACACAAGTCATCAACAGCGAATGAAACACTTTTGGATAGTATTGTTTTGAACGCTAACAATAATATGACTTGTTACTGAACACTGGCTACATTAACATATTTTCTCTGTTTATTTTTTGGTCCTGAGATTTTTTATTTACACGTGAAAGAAATCCAGCCTTAATACTATTGGGGAAGGGGAGACTGTAGTGTTTATTTATTTACATCAAACCACATCCTACAGCATAATACATCATATCTCGTACAAAAAAATATCTGATAGTGAATAGTTCTGTATACCAACGCCACAACTTGCTATAAATACAAAAATATCTGTAAAATACATCAACAATCGTATGTATACTTGAACCCTGACGAGTTGCACAATAAATTACATGTGAATTACACAATAACTTACATGTAGACATCCATGCGGAATAAACAATAATTATCTGTAGGGAGGAGTTGTTTTTTTATAAAGGAGGGAGAAATAAATAGTAATAAATAAATAAATACAATAACAAAATACAATGATTCTAATAATCAACCTTTTTTTAGTGTAGAAAAATATCGTCCGCATACACAATTTGTTTAATACATTTGGTGATGGGGTACAATTTAGTACAGGTTGGTGGTACATTTATAATACACGTACACAGTAATAAAAGTCTTACAGCTAGTCCTGGGCCTGATGTTACATGTGGCTCCTCAGGGTCCCCAAAACTTAAAACATTGTCCCAAATACAAGAAAAATACTCGAGTTCAGACCTGTTACTCCTCTGTCACCACACAGCTTCTTTTAATTCTCAGAAAAAAACCCAAACATTGCACTAGAAATTGAAATATATCATGCATTAATTATAACTATACTGAGCCGAGTAACAAGGTCTAAAATCTTCGTTAATATGGCATTATTGCATTTCAGCAAACTGATCGGAAGCTTACCATGAACCAAGGCGTAACCGGTGGGAACGAGGCAAGGGAGTTACGTCCTTGTGGAACCTACCAGTACAAGTCAAAATCGGGGGCGATGCTCGGGCTCTTCAAAACATCCTGATAAGTACCATGATTATTTACCTAGTAAAATTTCAACCTAGTAGTTATTCACTATCAAGAAATATAACCATGCTCATTGCCTAGAAAACCTAATCATACCAATATTCCCATTACACAAGCAGGTCAGTCACACCTCACTGTGACCGGCGGGCTTCAGCCGTCAGTTAGTCTCAAGTAACACCCATTTTCTATCAGTAATAGAGCAATGTGTTTTACAGGAGCCTACTGCGCTAGCCTCTGCCTTAAAAAAATATAACAGTTGAATAATAAACAATAAGTGTTGGTGCCCGAGCATCGCAGGTCCCCGCTACTACAGTACTGATACTAACAACAATAACAACAGGGGGACGCCGGGACTCGTCATCACAGCGGGAACCAGCCCGCCTCCCCAACATACTCTACGGATCCTAATAAAATAATTCAGTGTTTGCACTTGCGGTAAAAGTAGAGGGCTCGAGAGTCAGCCTCCGGAGGCCCAAGTCTTGGATGGAGGACATCACTGGTAGAGAGCCAGCTTCCACTTTTAACTGTGGAGATTGTCTCCACTACCAGCGGTGGATAGACGTTTATCACTACCACAATTAGCAGGGTCACTCCCACTTACTGCGCACTCATTACAGTGTTAGGATATATCTCTGTTATACGTAGCCATCATTGGTTAATGTCCAGTACACTCAGGAGTTCGTCCAATGCTAAATGAGATATGGTTTTGTTAAGGCACATTAATCAAAGTGAAATGAGTCATTCGCCTTCACGTAAACATTAAATTTCGCCGATAACATTTGTATGATCGGATGTCTTTGTGTTATTTTTCTACACACTGTCATCTCTCTGAGACTTAAGCAGTTCAAGTTTTTCAGTAGCGAATCATGTCGTCCAATTGAACTTGTTTGAACTTTTGTAATAGTAATCGATGAATTCTTCTCGGAAAATATTCATTTAGCCGATTTACATTTCCAGTTTAGAGACCCATAGTATAACATGGTTATTGCTTCACCAAAAGAATTGTACAGTTATCAATGTAAACATAATTTACAAATATATACATGTTTTACAAAGATCACCAAATTTGTATATCAGAAATGTATACAAATAAGAAGAGAGGAGTGTTTGACACTATTGAATGATTACAATAACCATATTGTACCGTGTCATTGACGAGCGAGGACAACTAACACCGAGAAGACTGCACGTTGTCAAGCTGGGTTGGTGGAGGCGGGTGGATGGGGTGGGGGAGTAGCAGAGGCAGCAGATGTAGGTCGCCATGAAGCAGCCTTATTCTGATGTCATTACTATCACTAGCACAGCTATCACCACACCTCCGGCACCATATAATCACTAGTTTAAGTGACTTCTAATGGTTGAAAGGCATTCAGTGTGGCGGGAATAAGAAAGACAAATAGTCGAGATCCATGAGGTGCTGGCGGACCCTGGCGTCGTCAACACTGTCTGAGGCTCCCGTAACACTAGTCACATCCTCTACAGTATGTCGGTAGTCTCTGTCATAGTCATAAGATGGCTTCACTCTTGCACCAAAGTAGCCATACAGAACTTACTCATGATCTGAGTATATTTCAAGATACATTTTAAGTATAGATGGCAGGAAGTGTCATTTAGAGGTCAGCTCCTGTCCATAAATGCTACGTGTATGAACAGTATGGAGTCCTCGGATGATAGTCACGTGTTTTGAAGAAATAGGTAAAAAAGCACCTTTCTAGAACGTGTAATCTTCATTTTTTGTCATGCAGCATCCCCAGTCATCGTAATATATTATAAATAGTATGTCAAGTCTCAGTCATTGTTAGTCCATACAACAGGTGTGGTTCTCCACACACATCACCCAAAAGTAGTCTAAAGGTCTTGGTACAACTCAATGGGAAGGGTAATGGTCCAGTGTCCGTGAAGGAGGTTCTAGTCCAGTGTAGGGGGCCCAAATTCCAGTGTCCGGGGTCCAGGTACAGGTCCGGGTGGGAGACAACCCCTTTCCGGGCGGCAGGCGGCGCTGACCCAGATGGGAAGTGGGTCGGTGGCGCTCTCTCCTGCGCCGCCCCCAGCCAGGCCCTCCGACCCCCTCACAACACACGCACACACACATTCTAATTTCATATATTTATGTTGAATTTAATATCAATTGCCTATGTGTAGGAATGATGTGAAAGGCTACGGAATACAGTAATTGTAATTATAGGAGAGATGAGGGAGGAGAGAGAAGGGGTGGTGGCATCTCCTAAACCCGCACCACAAACCAACAGCTTTCACTTCAGGCCCAAGCGCGTGTTTCTCTCTTTCACATATACAACACCTGTTCAAGTCCATGGCCAATGTCAAGGGTGAAGTGACTGTGTCTCTGACTCGTGCGGTGCTTCCCATGTGCACCAACCCTTAGGAACACCAGCAGGTTTGTCAGTAGGATACTCCCGGGGCAGGACCATCGCTAGGCTCACCTTAAGTAGGCTTACCAACAACGACACAGCTCCCGGATGTGGTTGTTCCCTCACTTTCATTCATATCTCGGCAGACGGTATAGGCCATGTGTATAAATTCAGCTTGCCATTCCACGGACGGATTTAAGTAGCGTTTTTTTTTTTTATCTTTTTGACTTGGGACCACGGGCGGCCAGCGAGGAATGCGATGCCACACTCAGTCGAAGATATAGAAGATAGGTAATAAATAGGTTGAACCGGGAGAGAGTGAAGCAGCGGGTGGGAATGAAATTAGTCCCTGGCGACGCGCTTGTGGATTTGGTAATGCTTGAGCAGGTGGGCTTTTTGTCGGAACGCCTTCCCACAAGTCTCGCACTTGAAGGGTTTCTCACCAGTGTGGGTGCGGAGGTGAACCTTGATGTTGGACTTGTTTAGGAAACCGCGGTTACAGACTGTGCAGCGGTGGACTGGTTTGTCTTTGGTTCCCTCTGTAGTGATGGGAAGTTTTGTACTCTTGTTCATGCGGTTGCGGTTCTTGTTCTTGAGCCCCGGGAAGTCGAGGCCCATTTTAGTGGAGGACAGATCCGTGGACTCGGGTGAGGCCAACTGGGTCTTGTCTAAGTAAGACCTGGTATCGAACTTGTTTATAAAAAGGTCATCTGTGGTAGTGACGGCAAAATTAGTGTGATCTGTAGTATGTGGCATTGCGTCTTTATGTGTGTAATATTGAGCCCGTGCAAACATTGGGTCGGCCTTCAGGAGTCCTCCTCCAACGTCCTTAAGTCCTTGTGTAAGACGCGCCTGCAGTATTGGCATAGATATTTCATTCTTGTATTGGGCTTCAGAAACCAGACCCTGCAGGTAGTTATTATTGGTAACAGCGCCTGCGGCCAGGAGCGTCGTTAACATGGGTGAATGAGTGTGTGAGTTGGCGTACTCTATAGTACTATGAGTGATGGTTGTGGTTGAGGGCTGCGGCACCTGCGTCGCCATCGACGGAGAATGTCCTGACGGAGACATGGTGGAGTTTACTAATGGGTCCGCAGGTTCTACCTTCACACCTCCACTCATGTTCTCAAAGAACTCCTCAATATCCTGGAATTCGGGCGCATTGAGAGGCTCGAGAGATTCAGGAAGCATGATGCTGTTGATGCTGGTGTTTATGTTGTTGTCAGCTATGGCACTACCCAAGATGGTAGCGATATCATCGATCTCTTGTGTTATTGAGTAACCATGATGATGTGGATCATGCTTTTGAGATGATGACAGAGGAGATGTGGTGGTTGTTACCGGCTCAGGGGTGCCAGTATATCCCAGAAAAGTGTTGCTGTTGGTGATGGCACCCTTGTACTGACTACCGGGTGAGTTGGAGGAAGTGGAGGAGGTGTCATGGCGGGAAGACGCCGAGGTGTCGGGCGACGCCGTCAAGTAATCCAGTGGTTCGAGAGGCTTGAGTTCTGCGAACGTTGAATTTGGTGCCGGTAGGTCACGCAGGAAGGAGTCTAGTGGGTCCATGGTGGTTTTGGTGTCCGTGGCGTGCGCACCGTATCGGGGCTCGAGCAGGTCCTCATGAACCCACGCGTGCACACCATCAGGCGAGTCCGCGGGCTGAGGGTAGAATTTCATCTGGACTCCGGGGTGGGGCGTGTATTTTGCCGTGACTGTAGGCGTGGCGCATGAAGGGTGTAGTCGTTGTCAACGGGAACACAGCATCATACAGCGGCACGCGGGGCCTCCCCACACTCTCCTGCAACACACACAACAAAGGAAGTTAACACACACGGAGGGGACAGATGCAGAAGGTAATGCACACGCAGCGCGCGCACACACACACACACACACGTGTACATTTACGCAGGCAACTGAAACATACAGACACAACCAGTCTGAAAGGCATACATGTCAGCTCACAGAAGATAAAGTGGACTGAGTATATAAGTGAAAATTTTAACATCTTAAAAAAGAAAGATCTCATGTTTAAGATGATAGGGTGTGGACACATTCACGTGCTTTGATGTGTGTGTGTGTGTGTGTGTGTGTGTGTGTGTGTGTGTGTGTGTGTGTGTGTGTTACTCGCTAAACATCTATTACATACAATATAGTATCGGACATGCATCATACTACCGACAGTGAAAAGCACTATGTGGTTCTGAACTAGTTGGCTGTACATATGTATGTGATTTCTTTTTTTTATATATAAACATGACAGAAAAGCGTATTTGTAACCATAAACGACACTATTTGTGCAGAATCACAAAAATTAAGTTATTTTATAGGCAAAAATAACAAGAACAGAAGTATATATTATACAAATGAATAAGTAATTGTTAGAGTAGGTGACGACAGCAGCCATCAGTGGTGGTGTTATAGCTACTAGGTGTGAGAGACTAAAGAAACCGGTGAAACTCAGTGTTAACACAGTGAGTCGTGTTATAAGGTGTAGTGGTGTAGATAAGACACGTGGTTGTTGTTTACATCACTGCATGAGACACGATGAAAATGATTACATTAAATTACTTTAATAACTATAAGGAAAGGTCAGTGTTTTAATTTGCGATTCATTGTTCGAACTGGTTTACAGTTTTGTCTATAAATGCTTGTACTGATTTAAAACTGTATTACAGACACGTTCAGACTATGTTGAAAAGAACCAGCAGTATATGAAGGGGTGTTTGTGACATCACCCTGACCATATTTGAGTAGTGTATGAGTTTGTGTGTGCTGCTGTGAACATTTTAATGCCAGGTATTATAAAATATTTATTTTTCCCCAAGTGTGTAAAAACTGTTTAATGTTTCATTAATTTTTAAATAGGTAACTCTTGCAAGTGAATATGGCGTCAAATAATTGAGTAAATAAAATAAAGCAGTAAAAAGGAAGGAAGGAAGGAAGGAAGGGAGGGTGGATGAGTCGTGACCTGGGAAGAAATTGAGGAAGTGTGGTCCAGCCTCTTTACGCTCACCAGTAACTAACTACCCAGGTTTATATTACACAAAAATGAGAATAGTTCATTAAAAGTGGATTACTTAAGTAATATTATAAGAATTGAGACGATCACTTTTACATATAACTATATTAAGTGAGACATATGTGTACGGTGAAGAAATCTTCAGAAATGCCACGGTATGTAAGATTAAAGTAATGTATAATGGTGTAGAGTGGAGGGCAGACGGGTATGTAACTCGCTCCCGACATGGACTGAGTCACTAGCTCGATTGTTGAACTGTTACGAATATGTGGATGTAGTATGCCAGGGAAGGAGTTAAGAGGTAGTGTGTTAATATGTGGGTGTAGTATGCCAGGGAAGGAGTTAAGAGGTCGTGTGTTAATATGTGGGTGTAGTATGCCAGGGAAGGAGTTAAGAGGTCGTGTGTTAATATGTGGGTGTAGTATGCCAGGGAAGGAGTTAAGAGGTAGTGTGTTAATATGTGGGTGTAGTATGCCAGGGAAGGAGTTAAGAGGTAGTGTGTTAATATGTGGGTGTAGTATGCCAGGGAAGGAGTTAAGAGATAGTGTGTTAATATGTGGGTGTAGTATGCCAGGGAAGGAGTTAAGAGGTAGTGTGTTAATATGTGGGTGTAGTATGCCAGGGAAGGAGTTAAGAGGTCGTGTGTTAATATGTGGGTGTAGTATGCCAGGGAAGGAGTTAAGAGGTCGTGTGTTTTAATATGTGGGTGTAGTATGCCAGGGAAGGAGTTAAGGGGTCGTGTGTTTTAATATGTGGGTGTAGTATGCCAGGGAAGGAGTTAAGAGGTAGTGTGTTTTAATATGTGGGTGTAGTATGCCAGGGAAGGAGAACTGTTTATGTTTTAAATGTGGATGCATTCCTTCTTTTTTTCTTTCTCTTTCTTTATCTAGTTCACTGTATCTTTTATGTTATATGGGTTGGGAAGGAAATGTTGTTGATAAGTACATAGGTCTTAACAATGCATATTTAGTTCAGTGTTAGGTATTTATTGTAATGGATGACAAGAACAGTTATGAATTAAGTTCAACCGCCCTGAAAAAATAAAAATATATGAATTAAACAAATAATATTATTTAAGACTACATAAAACTATTAACAAAAGGATAAACAAAAGCTAGAAGGATATAATGAAAGCCTGTATGTTTTTTTATCGTTATTGAATTAGACATTATGATATAACCTGCGTGTTATAATTATCATAGGTAAAACTGTATTATTATTATCCCTGTCACCATATTACCAGCAAACAGCCCACACCCATAATAGTATGTTAGTCATAGTAACTTTAGATCATAAGACCTTGTAAAAATAGAGCTGAATGCCTTATGTATTCACCCAGCTAAGCACACCATACTGACTAGTTAACTGTGAAGAATAACGCCTACCATCACCTGTGTACACCCTCACTTTATTGTGTTCATACTCAGAGAATGTGGTGACCGACCAGGAGGGGTTGACGGAACGAACGGAACAAAGGATAATTAAAAACCTAGGGAATGGCTGTTCTATTACCAACCATTTAGAGTATTACAGAAGCGCCGGATCAAAACCCCAATGAATGACCAAACGTAAAACGCTCTCTTGCTGTTATGCCTTTATATTCTTAAATAACTTCCTGGTAATGAAGGATTCTTCTTCTTCTTCTTCTTGTTAATAGTATTTGCACTATATACAGTCCAGTGACCTGCAATAACACCTACTGCCACACGGGAACACTTTAGTCTCCCCTGTGTTTCATTCTTTGTTAAGTGTCTAACATCTTCATACAATGATAGCGCTTCGAGCACCTCCATTGTTAGTTCCTCTGATGTTACGCGAATATTCCATAACCATAATATTACTTAATTCTAGGATTTAAAAATTGTCTAAAATAAGATTGAAGCTTGTGATTCGGTTGGCTGTTGAGAGTTTTGTTTAGGTTTGGTGGGAGGCTACACAAACGTGTTAAGATAGACACGATTCACTCTTGCTCAGGTTGGGCACTTGTGTACTTGGTGAGGCAGATCACTGTTATATCATATAAAGAAATATAGTCATTAGGGTGTTTAGTTGGATTGAACTCGATGAAGTCGTGTTTAACACTTTCACAGCGGGAGGTTACCCTACGCTGAATAAATCGTCTGGCGGTAGCCAGAATAAAATAGCGAGCGCGTGACACGCGGTGAAAGGGTTAACTAGGCTATACGCCCCGAGTAAGGCACATCCAGGTTTTGTTTGGACTAGTCGTTTCCGATGTCTTTACTTCCTGCTGCAGATCTTGTTATACGTAAAGCCTCAATGTCTGAATATGTGTCCATCTTTAGAGTTATCTAACCAAGAGGAATCAAATAAAGCTCAACATATGTTCCATCAATTGGTTTGTGGCGATAGACAACATCCTGTCCTCTCAAACATTGTGTAACTGTGAGAGATAAACAAAGCATATCGGTAGTTGCTCAAATATCATAAATATTGAAAAGTTTTGTTAAAATACTCATGTCATTTGCCCTAAAGTTTACCTTGGCTATTATTACAGTTACATAAGTATAGTCACATATGGCATGTACTATATACAAAAAATACCTCATTCATTTACTGATTATTATTGTATTGAAAAATTACTAATTACAAAAATTGCAATCGTAGAAATAGTCAAAATTAGCAAACATATTCTGTTCTCCAAGATACTGTACAAGGTGGCCGTACCGCCTGGAGACAGGATTGTATCAAGGATTCATTGGGCAACAGCACCATGGGATAGCCTCAGATCTTAACCCACTGGATTTCATTTTTAGGGATTACGTCCAATCTCAGGTTTGTGAAGTGAAAGTCATAAACACTGAGCTGCTGATTCAGTGTAGAATTAAAAGGTGTGCTGCTGTGAGTGTAATTGACAATTTACCTTAATGTGCTCATCAATACTTCAAACGTCGCTTGCAAATCTGTATTGATTCAAAGGGAGAAAATTTTGAACTTTTTATTTAGTTTATTTGTATATTATCAAAATAAATCCTGATTAGAATCTCATGTTCTCACACTTTATGTCTACCTTGTATTATGGAGGACTACGTAATAGCGGTTTAACACCAAGTAACGTGATGACATTGATGTAGGACAGCAGTATTTGCTAAACCGGTGTATGTGTCGCCTACAGCTGCGGATACCACTAACACTGCCTGGGGTGAGGGCGAATCGGACATGCACAGTATAGACGTAGCTACATAATCCTTGTGGGGTCAGATACTGGTAATTGATTACTTACCAAACTTAACTACTATATTAAGTTTTATGGTAGGAAAAAATATGTTTATTACAGTTTCATTAGGACGGACCCGATATTGGTAAATGATGAGTAATAGAACTATTATTTTGAATTCGAGGAAATGTCTTTTGTGTTGTTCCAATAATGTCTGAAGAGCGTGATATTCATGGCGTTAGTACTTACACTAATCATCAACAGTTAAGACTTATGAAAGATAAATCTATCTTATTCCATCATGGTCACTGCACGTGTCACCAAAAGTTGATATTTTGAAATTAATAGTAATGGATTTTATATTTTATGATGTGTGAAATGGAAACAGTCATGAAATGTTTCCTGTATCGCCTTTATACGTTATACACGTTATATACGTTATACATTCCTATTTTTTCAAGATATTTTTATATAAATTGTAAGATGAACCAAAGTCTAAAATCTTAAAGCACAAGAGTAATAGCTAATTATTACAGCTTAGTTATCGACGTATCCACCCTGTGGCTAGCATGATAACAACACGCCAATAATTCATTACTTCACT